GAACTAACGGAATAAATTAGAACAGCAGAAATTCCTTATACAGGAGAGATTGCCTTTGAGAGAAGCAGGACGGCTCCTTTATGTAATGTCTCTTTATGTGCCATGGCGATTGGTGAGTCACTGTGTTGCCACTTAACACATACTTACTGAGCATTTATAGACTGGTGTTATAATAACTTGGCCCCAGATTAATTTTCCTCCTCAAAAAATTTCTATTAAAGAGTTTGACCATACAGTGGTCTCAGACAGTGTGGGGGGGGGGGGGGAGAGTTGCTTAGAGCACCCAGTATACAGAAGGATAGAAAATAATTAAAAATCAGAATGTAATTTAATTCAAAATCAAAAGGCATTCTAACCTAAGCCTTTGTGAAAATTGTGTGAGTTGGCAAATTAATAGGACTATTGCCTGGGGTGAAGTCTGCCCTTAACCTGTGTAATTAGCAAAAAATGAGAGACCTCAGTGGGTTTAATGGATGAGCAATAGAAAATGATTTCCTGACATTAAGTGGAATCATTAAGAATGCAAGAGCACTAATACACTGGGGCCACTTCCAGGGGATAAGTGATGCCTGGGCTGCCAAGGGACAGCTCAAACAGTCTTTTGCATCTGTGGAGTCTCCCACAGAGTCCATCTACCCTCCAAGTAGGGAAGGGAGAGGACTAACATTTATTGAACCCTTGCTGTGTGCCATCCTCTGTGCCAGGCATTCATTATATATGGTCTCACTTTATTTTTTTAATGTGTTGTTATTGATTTTTTTAGAGAAAGAGGAAGGGAGAGAGAGAGAAAAAAACATTAATGTGAGGGAGAAACATGAATCAGCTGCCTTCTGCACGCCTCCTACTAGGGATCCAGCCTGCAACCCAGGCATGTGCGCTGACCAGGAATTGAATTGACACCTCTCAGTCCATGGGACAATGCTCAATCCCCTGAGACACACTGGCCGGGCATATATGGTCTTACTTTCAAAATACTTCATGAGTTTTTGTCTTTGGATAGGGTGACAGACACAGTCCAGCCTTAACATGAGAGTGACACAGGCATGACCACCACTGTCATTGCAGTTTGTCCCTGGCCCTGGTTGGGTTGTGTGGGAGGCATGTGTGGGAGGCAGCCACTCGATGTGTTCCTTTCACGTTGATTTCTCTCTCTCTCTCTCTCTCTCTCTCTCTCTCTCTCTCTCTCTCTCCTACTCTATCTGAACAAAAAATGAAAAAATGTCTTCGGGTGAGGATAAAAATAAATAAATAAAAGCAAAATGAAAAATCACTATTAACATTTTGGTCTGCAAACTTATATTCTTTTAAAAATTATTTTGTGTTCAATTACCAAAATAGGATTGTACTACATGCTATTTCATACCTGCTTTTTAACTCAAACACTTTTACATGCTTAGTAAACATTCTTCTACAATATAATTCTAGTAGTTACAAAGCATGGAATTGTATATACTTTCATAAACCCTTTTTATCAATCCCCAATTGTAGTACATTTAAGTTGCCTTTCACATTTCCACACTTTTAAACAGTTCTAATTAACATTTTTGTAGATAAATCGCTGCAAAATTTGTCTATTTTTTTAAAAAGCAAATTACCAGCATGCAAATGTCTGGGCAAAAGAATATAAACATTTTGAAAGTTAAGTTTATTGAAGCGTAATTACACAAAGCAGAATTGGACCTTTTTAGGTGTACAGGTCTTTGAATTTTGACAAATTCATCAGTTATATAGACACCACCACAATTAAGTTATAGAACACTTATAAGTATTTTAAAGCTTTTCATGCATGTTACCAAGTTATCTGCTAGTAAAATTATACTTATTCCATTTACCATCAACCTATGAAAGGTGAATATTGAGTATTGTTCTTAAAATTTTTTTATAATAAAAAAGATTTTCCAATTTGGTAAGTAAATGTTTCCATCTCTTTTAAAGGTACATTTATTTTATTACAAATGAAGTTGCATTATTTTTATATGTTTATCTATTTTATGTCTTATAGTATAAATCCTCATTTATATCCTCCTTGGCCTGTATTTCTAGCCAATGATTTATCTCTTTCTTATTGATTTGTAAGAGCTATTGCAGGGCTGGGGTGAAGAAGTGATTGATCTGTCATGTTGCAAATAAGTGTTCTCTTGTTCTTTGCCTCTTTTGATTTTTCTATGGGTTTTTTTTTTTTCCTCAAAGTTTGAAGTTTCTTAATCTTTTCAGCTTTTCCTTATAGATTTCACTTTCCAAGTCATCTTCATTAAGTCCTTTCCCACTTCATGATTATTTAAATATTTGTACTTTCTACATTTAAATCTTTAATTCATCTGGTATTTAGTTGTATATGTCACATGGGGTAAACTTTACTTTCTCCCCAAATGGTGAGCCAGTTCTACCAGCCCCATTTATCAAATAAGAGATCTTTTACCTACTAATCTGAGAAGTCACCTTGACTATATCTTATATTTATTATATACTTATATACATCGCTGAACTTTCCATTCTGCTTCACAAAATATATCTCTTTTTGGAAAAGAACAGGTGCATTTCACACAGTTTAAAATATTATATTTTTAAAATATGTTTTAATATCTAGTATGGTAAGCACTGTTTTTCATTACTGTACTTTTTCAAAATGTTCTCTCTGGCCTCAATTATTCCAGATGAAATTAAAGCCATAGCTGAGTTTAAATATTCAATAGAAACTTTTATTGAAGTATTATGTTTATAGATTAATCTAAGAAGAATTTAGATCTTTATAATAAGCAATTGGTCATCCCTGAGGAACATGCTGTGCTGCTCCAGGTGCTCAGGGTTTCTTTTATGTGCCTCACTAAATTTGTACAGTTTTTTTAATATATATTTTTTCTTTATTGATTTTAGAAAGAGAGGGAGACAGAGATAGAAACATCAATTGGCTGCCTCCTACATGCCCCCACTGGGGATTGAGCCACAACCTGGGCATGTGCCCTGACCAGGAATCAAACCAACGACCTCTTGGTGCATGGGTAAATGCTCAACTGCTGAGCCACACCAGCTGGGCTATACAGTTTTTAAATATGGATTCTGCACATGTTTTGTGTGTGCATTTACTCCAGGAATCATGATTTTTTGTTAGCATTAATCACAGCATCTGTCTTTTCACTATACTTTCTAACTGGTGGTTCCTATTTATAGTATTTTATTTATTAATTTTATAAAAAGATAGTTTAATAAAAATGAGTTACAATAATATTTTAGTTTTTCTCCCCCTTTGGTGTTCCAAGAAAACAATTAAGTTATTTATTTGTAAATACTAAAAATTTTACCTTCACTTCTGATTTTATACTTCATTCCTTTTTCCTATACTCCTTATTCAGAATGATTGTGACTGATAATTTCAGATAATTCTTCACATCATTACATGTTACTGTTATAAAATCAAAAGTGGATTTTAATACAGTAATTTATAATAAGCTACTCTTGCAATTTTGGAATAAACTCTATTTGGCTATGGTGTGTTATTCTTTTAACATTTTACTCAGTGTTTTATTGAAATATTTGTGTTTATTATTGTTAAATTCTTTAATACTCCATCTTTGCCAAGTTATGATATTAAGGTTGGGTTATTCTCATGTTATGAAATTGGGAGCCTTGCATCTTTTTCTACGCTTTGTAACAACTTAATTGGCATAAGTGCGCCTATTGCTTAATAAGTGGATTTAACTCACCTGTATCATCTAACACACTTCTATCACCTGTATTATCACAAGCCATAGCATTTTTTTAAAGCTCTCTTTCTCGCTCAGTATTCAGAACGTGTATTAAAATTCCAAAGTTCAGACCTGACCGGTTTGGCTCAGCAGTTAGAGTGTTGGCCTGAGAACTGAAGGGTCGCAGGTTCAATTCCTGGTAAAGGGCACGTACCTGGTTGCAGGTTTGATCTCGGCCCCTGTCAGTGCATGTGCGGGATGTGTCTCACTCACCTCAATCTTTCTCTTTCTCTCTCTCCCTTCCTCCTTTCCACTCTCTCTAAATATCAATGAAAAATACACAATGGAGTATAATGCACCTGTAAGAAAGAAAGATCTCTTATCCTTTGAGACGACATGGAGGGACCTGGAAATTATTATCTTAAGCAAAACAGGTTAAATAGAGAAAGACAAGTATCATATGATCTCATTTATCTGTAGAATATAATAAACATAACAGTCTAAGGAATGGGGTAGTCCCAGAGACATGGAAGTGCGGTACAGACTGACAATCCCCAGAACAGGAGATGGTAGGGGAGAGATAAACCACAGAATTTACATGCATGTATGCATGAACAATGGACATGGACAACAAAGCTGGGGACAGGGCGGGGAGGGAAGAGGAGGGGGGAATCAGTGGAGGGGAAAGGAGAAACATCTGTAACAAAAATAAATTAATTAAAAATAAGATAAAAATCAATGGAAAAATATCCTCAGATGAGGATTAACAACAACAAAATCCAAAGTTTATGCAATGATTTTGAGAGTCAGACAATGAAAAGCTAATTTATCACTTTTCTTAGGATAGGATGAATTGTTAAATAAAGATGAACACTAAATCTCAAACATAGTTTCTATCATTTCTTTGGATTCCATTAGCTCTTGGCAAAGATTATTAATGCTTGCATAAAGTTTATTGATTCCAGTATTGTGATCAAAAACTGACTAATTGCTCTTTACAGATTACAGAAATTTCCACCCTCAATTTCCTAGGAAAGACTTGAAGTAAAAATGTAGAGTAAGAAATAAGATGAACCTTAACTGTATCAATTAGTTTTCCTTGAGCACACCTGGATATGTATAACTGCACTAAAGTGCTTAACAGATTGCAAAAACAATTTCTGTTCTCATCGAACTTTTCATCTGAGGCAGGGGCCCTACCTTGTTTGTGATGGTTTCTTTTCACAGAGTAATACCATGTAAATTCCAGTACAGTCCAGTAGTCGCCAACCTATTTAATTACTGTAACAATAGTAACAACATTTTTTCTCTATCCAGGAAGTCTGTGCTAAGGCTTATCTAGCCCTTCGTCACCACACGAACCTACTGATCATCTTGTTCTCCATGATGCTGATGACGGGAATGCCCCAGTTAACAAGCAAAGAAGATATTGAATATATTCGGGATGCCCTAACAGTGGGGAAAAATGAGGAGGATGCTAAAAAGTATTTTCTTGATCAGATTGAAGTTTGCAGAGATAAAGGATGGACTGTGCAGTTTAACTGGTTCCTGCATCTTGTTCTTGGCATTAAACAAGGAGAGAAACATTCAGCCTAATGCCTTGGGCTAAAGTTAAAACAGGTTAGTGTTCCAAAGCTTTAAATTAGCATGTCAATCATCGACCTTGGATTTAAATTCTAATAGGACATTATGAAAGCTGCCACTTCAGAAATATAGCTCTTTTTCTAGCTTATCTCTTCACTGGAGAAAAATATTGGCATGTCTGATTGGTTAAGTAATGTTCAGTTCTAGGCCTATTTGTAGATTTGTTTCTTTCTCACTTGCCTCAGTGATTTTGGAGACTATTCTGAGTGTAAATACACTAATCAGTTCCTTGTTATGCCTGATGTTTTGACTAACATTATTGAGCGCTTCTGGTAAGTCTTAAGAATAATTGGTGACATCAATTTTCATCTGGGTTTACTCTCAATTTTGGTTATCCTTGTGTTCCTGGAGCTCTTTACAGAAACTAATGTACTCATCGTAATCTTTGTCGCATACCTTAAATGGCATTTTCAAACTTCCCCTAGGTGTCTGCAGATGTCAGTGATGTGCTAAAAGGAAGGAAAGCGAGTTAGTCTTTTCACTGTCTTTTGCAATTAGGTTCTTTTACACTGTCCAACTGAGATGCCCAAACACAAAATAGAAGAGCTGAAACTTAACACCTTGGCCCTTCTCTGCTGGCCTGTTTCCAAGATTCTGAATAGGAAAAATAGAGATGAGACCATTTGTCCCCACTCTGTCCACAGAGTAGATTACTAAGTACAACTATTATAGCCTTTTCCAGCATAGAAACAAGAAGTAACTAAAGGGACTCATTATTTTTGCCTTTATATTTTTCTCCCTCCTTTTCTCCGCCTCCCTTCTTCCCCCTGCCACCCTCCCACAACTCTTTACCCAGAGCTATGAAATCTTCAAGAACCCCTTTACCCTAGATTAAAAAATTAGTTGAAGAAGAAATTCTCTTTTAGTGTTGCTAGAATTTTAGGCATTTATTTGTAAAGATGCCTGGAAGAGGTGTTTTTTTGTTTTTTAAGTGTATTGTTAAAGGAGATATTCTAGAAATTATGGATTAGTTTTCAAGTACGTTAATTTTAAATGGTGGTTTGAGCAGCTTTTCATTCTTTTTTTAATAGAAGAAGAAATTTGCTATCTAAAAATTACTGGAGTTAGGAAGAACACTACTTGTCCTATCCATCTCTCGGTTTTTTTGTTTGTTTGTTTTGGGTGATTTTTTTTTTTTTGGAATGCGCCCCTAGCAGAAACCAAATCTGGGACAGTCTGGTCCACAGGCCAACACTCCAACCACTGAGCCAAACTGGCCAGGGCCATCTCTCAGTTTAAAGGACTTTTAACCTTTGACGCATTCTTCAGATTTTTCTAAAAATAACTGAAATGGCTTCTTTTTTTTAAATTTTATTTATTTATTTTTTATTTTTTCCATTTTTTTGTTCAGATAGAGTGGGAGAAAGAGAGAGAGAGGGAAACATCGACGTGAAAGGGACACATCAAGTGGTTGCCATTCGCACGACCCAAACAAGGTCAGGGACAAACTGCAACCGAGGTACTTGCCCTTAATGGGAACCAAACCCGGGTCTCTCTGGACCGCAGGCCAACGCTCTAACCGCTGAGCCAAATCAGCCAGGGCTGAAATGGCTTTTTTAAAAACTATTTTCATCTCTTAAATATTTTTCTATTTATTAGAAGTGTTGTTTAACCTTTGAGAAAGATCGTTATTTATAAAATATTTTTAAATTACCTATAGTTAATTCTTTACAATGACATAACTGTTAACAGTGTCTATGTTTATATTAGATGTAAATATATATTAAATTTAAATTTTTCTAAGTAGATACCTGGGTTGGTGAAGCCCAAACCTTTATTTTGTGCATGCAAAAGCTCAGTGGTGTTTTGTTTTTTCTGGTTAACCCTCACCCAACGATATTTTTTCCATTGATTTTTCAGAGAGAGTGGAAGGGAAGGAGGAAGGGGTAGAGAGAGAGCGAGACATTGATTGGTTGCCTTCCACATGCATGCCTACAGGTGCCAGGACCCAAACCGCAGCCATGGTACCCAGATATGTGCCCTTGACTGAGAATGGAACCTGAGACCCTTCGATGCATGGGCCAACACTTTAACCACTGTACCACAATGGACAGGGTAGAGCTCAGTGGTTCTTAACCCTGGGTACAAATAAGAATAACCAGGAACACTTTTATTTTTTAAAGAGGTTTTTATTGATTTTAAGAGAGAGATAGAAATATCAAGGAAAGAGACACAACGATTGGCTGCCTCCTGCACACCCCCAATGGGGATTGAGCCTGCAACCTGGACATGTGCCCTGACTGGGTATCGAACTTGTGATCTCTTGGTCCATGCGTCAATGTTCAACCCCTGAGCCACACCAGCTGGGCTCACCAGGGACACTTTTAAAAGTACGGACTTCCAGTCAAGATGGAAGCATAACTAAAAGCGGTATGGCCTCCTCCCACAACCACATCAAAGTTACAACTAAACTACAGAACAACCATTATTCAGAACTGCCTGAAATCAAGTTGAATGTAAGTCCCACAACTACGCAATTAAAGAAGCAGCTACCTCGAGACTGGTAGGAGGGGTGGAGGCATAACAGGCTGTCCCACACCCACTTGTGGCAGAAAAAATTAGAAGGATACCTTGGCTGGGAAGGTCCTCCCTGAGGACTGAGGGGTCCCTGTCCCACACAGGGCACCCAGCTCAGGGTTCCTGTACCAGGAAGAGAAGTCCCAATAACTTCTGGCTGTAAAAACCAATAAGAACTGAGGCTGAGGGAGGCTGAGGCAGCTGGAGCCCCAGGCAGCTCCTCTTAAAGGTCCCACTCATGGACTTACTCAGACTCCCACCCTCCAGGCTCCAGCATGGGGGAGGCAACTTGAATGACACCAGAGACCTAAGTGGAAGAACTGACTTGTTTGGCATTGGAGCGAGGACTAAAGAGGCAGCTTTCTCCTAAACAGACGTGCTATCAGAGGCCTTTGTCCTTTGGTGAACCCTTCCGTGGGGTGGCAGACAACCGCCATATCTGGGACTCCAGCAACCTGGATCACACTGGTTGCCCCACCCTGGTGATTTCCTGAGGCCCTGCCCCATCCAGCTTTCAGGCCCACCCAAGCTGTTGCCAGTTGCTTAACCATAGGATTGGCCTGTCTTGAATCCTGCTTCAGGTTTTCCTAAATTTCTTCAAACAAGCAACATCTGGTCTCAGCTAGCTCCATACCTCTTGTTAAGTAATACATAGAAACAAACACAGGAAGGCAGCAAAAATAGGATACAGAGAAACAGGTTCCAAATGAAAGAACAGAACAAAACTCAAGGAAAGAAATAAGCAAAATGGAGATAAGCAACCTAACAGATGCAGAGTTCAAAACACTGCTTATAAGGATGCTCAATGAACTTAGTGAGAACCTCAGTGAACTTAGTGAGGGCCTCAAGAGCCTAAAAAAGGAGCAGTCAGAAATGAAGGCTGCACAATCAGAAATGAAGGAGGCACTAATCAAAATAAAGAATAATTTACACAGACTAAATAGTAGAGTAGGTAAAGGCAAGAAGCAAACCATCAAGTTGGAATATAAGGAAGCAAAAACACCCAATTAGAACATCAAAAAGAATCCAAAAAATGAGGATAGTGTAAGGAGCCTCTGAGACAACTTTCGCATCTTGGGGGTGCCAGAAGAAAAAGAGAGAGAACAAGAAATCGAAAACCTATTTGAAACAATAATGGCAGAAAACTTTCCTAACTTGGTGAAGGAAACAAACATACAAGTCCAGGAAGCACAGAGAGTTCCAAACAAGATAAACCCCAAGAGGCCCACACCAAGACACATCATCATCAAAATGCAAAAGGTTTAAGACAAAGGTAATCTTAAAAGCAGCAAGAGAAAAGCAGTTAGTTACCTACAAGGGAGTTCCCATAAGACTGTCAACTGATTTCTCAAAAGAAAATTTGCAGGCCAGAAGGGAATGGCAAGAAATATTTAGAGTGATGAAAAGAAGAACCTACAACCAAGATTACTCTATCCTGCAAAGCTATCATTTAGAATAGATGGCCATATAAAGAGTTTCCCAGACAAGAAAATGCTAAAGGAGTTCCTCACCAGCAAACCATTATTATATGAAATGTTGAAGGGTCTTCTTGAAGAAAATATGAACAAACAAAATGACAGTGAATACATATCTATCAACAATTGAATATACAAACAAAATAAACAGGCAGAACAGAAGCATTCTCATAGATACAGAGAACATTTTTTGGTTGCCAGATGAGAGGGGAGTTGGGGGAATGGGTAAAGGGATTAAGAAGTACAAATTGGTTGCTAGACTGATAAACCTCAAAGGGAAGGGGGTTCTGGGGGTGAGAAGAGATAAACCAAAGAACTTATATGTATATATGCATAACCAATGGACACAGACAACAGTGTGGGGAAAGGCAGGAGGGGGGTCAGAGTGGGGAGGAGGGGATCAATAGGGGGAAAATGAGAAACATCTGTAATACATACAACAATAAAGATAAATTTTAAAAATTAAATAAATAAATAAAAATACCCTGCCTGAGCACCAACCTCAGATTATAAATTAATTTGTTTGGATGAGGCCCAGACATCAGTATTTTTCTAAGTAGTCTGTGTGTTTCTAATATATGGAGTTTGAAAGCCCTACATGGCCTTTGAAGGTGTAGGTACTCACTGCTTCCTGACCCCCTGAGCCTTTCCCATGGTTCACAGGGTGTCTAGAAAAAACTTGACAGGTCATCTTTTGAGATCATGTTCTATCCCCTATACAGTGGACCATGCCCTGTAATGAGATGTATATTCCTCTGTGGTAATGAAGGATAGGTGTGTTATGGCATTTTTAGAGTAACTATTCCCTACCATTCTTTTTTTTAATTCTCACCCAAGAATTACTTTTCCATTTATTCAGATAGAATGGGAGGGAGGGAGAGAGAGAGAAACATCGCTATGAGAGAGACACATCAATTGGTTGCCTTCCACACAACCCAGACCAAGGTGGGGGACCAAATCAAGGTAAGTGCCCTTGATTGGAATCAAACCTGTGACTCTTTGGTCCCAGGGCTGCCACTGTAACCACTGAGCCAAACTGACTAGGAAGAACAGGAAGAATGATGCTTTCCAATTCTGAAGAGGATGTTTTCATTGTTTTTATAAAAAATAGCCAAGCTCAGACCTTGCACAGGTTCTACTTTTTATTTGAATTGCTGAAATAATCATTTTAATGATAGAAGAATTACAGAGGGATGTACTTATAGTTACCTTATTGGTGCATGTGCTCTTCAAATTGATTCTTCCATATTCCAATGAAGGGGTAATTTTAACTCTTTAGATATGCAGATAAACAAAAATCGCCTTTGTGTGCTTCATTCATTGTTCCCAGTGAATCACATGACCCAAACCTTTTATATCTTTGAAAATGTTCTAGAACTAGTGTCATCTTTCTATTGAGAGGAAATACTAGGAAACTACCCACAACTCTATCTTCAATGCCAAATGAAAACAGCAGCGCTATTTACAATAGCTAAGATCTGGAAACAACCCAGGTGTCCATCAATAGATGAGTGGATTAGCCCTGGCCGGTTTGGCTCAGCGGTTAGAGCGTCGGCCTGCGGTCCAGAGAGACCCAGGTTAGGTTCCGCTAAGGGCACGTACCTCGGTTGCAATTTGTCCCCGGCCCTGGTTGGTCGTGCGGGTGGCAGCCACTCAATGTGTCCCTTTCACATCGATGTTTCTCTCTCTCTCTCTTCCTCTCTCTCCCTCCCACTCTACCTGAACAAAAAATGGAAAAATGTCCTCGGGTGAGGATAAAAATAAAAATAGATGAGAGGATTAAAATGCTGTGGTACATGTACACAATGGAATACTATGCAGTTGCAAGAAAGAAAGATCTCTTATCCTTTGAGATGGCATGGAAGGACCTGGAGAGTGTTATGCTAAGCGAAACAAGCCAAGCAGAGAAAGACAAATATCACATGATCTCACTTATTTGTGGAATATAATGAACTAAACAAACTGCTGAACAAAATTAACCCAGAGACATGGAGGTGGGGTACAGGCTGAGAAGCCTCAGAGGAGGGGAGTTAGTGAGGGAAGAGATAAACCACAGAACTTACATGCATGTATGCATGACCAATGAACATAGACAACATGGGGGATGGGGCGGGGGAGAAGGGAAGGAGGGTGTCAATGGAGGAAAAATGAAAAACATTTGTAACAAAAACAAATTAATAAATTAAAAATTTTTTAAAAGAAATGCAAATTAAGCCCAGCCAGTGTGGCTCAGTGGTTGAGCGTTGACCCATGCACCCAGAGGTTGCCAGTTCAATCCCTGGTCAGGGCACATGCCCACATTGTGGGCCCCATTTCTAGTAAGGGGCATGCAGGAAACGGCCAGTCGATGTTCTCTCTCATTGATGTTTTTATCTCTCTCTCTCTCTTTCTCCCTTTCTCACTCTATAAAATCAATAAAGAAAAAAAAATTAGAAAAAAACAAATGCAAATTAAAATAATTGATGTTCCTTTCACCATCAGATTAGCAAAGACTGATAATGCCCAGAGTGGGTAATAATTTGAGAGAAAGACCAGTCTATCATAATGATGAAAGCAGAAAAAGTTGGTAAATTCACGCATGGCATTTTGTCAAAATTTATCAACGTATCTATCTATTCTCTAATCCAGAAAGTCCACATCCAAGAATTTATCCTTCAGAAATTATTGGACAAGTGTGCAAAGACATATGGGCAAAAAATTACTGTTAGGGTTTTGGCTGGTGGCACAGGCTTGTGAAAGAATTCACAACAGAGAGAAGAGAGAGAAAGGGAGGAAGTTTATTTCTTTCCCCATAGTCAGGTAAAAGACCCGTGCATTGACTGGCAAGACCAGGGCAGGGAAGAAAGAGAGAGGTGCTCTTTTACTGGGGGCTTTCAGGAGTAAAAGGCAATTGGGGCAGGGAGGAGAGGGTGTTGAAGTTGAACAGATGCGGGGTAGGGGAGGTTTTCTTGAGGAGTTGTAGTTTGTTTGTTCTTCAGTAGACAGTCAGGCAGATGCATGAAGGAGATGTCTTTCTCAGTATCTTTACCATGTCTGTAAAACAAGCTTAAAAACAGTTAAAAAGAGTTCAAAAGAGAGAGATCCGTCTGAAGGGGAGGGGCAACGATGAGGAGGAATTCTTGCTAACCAGACTGAAGCTGTTATAACAGCAGCAGGGATGGGTGGAAGAGCGTAGCTTTGGTACCTTACCTGGTCCTACTGTTCTGTTTGAACAGAGGAGGGTTTGCATCACAGGAGCCAATATCTCAGTGTTTAATTACTAGGTGATTTTCATAAATTGTGGAAAAATTATAACAAAAACAAAAGCCTGTTTTCTGTCCTTAGAGTTACCACCATTCTTGGTAATAACCAAAACTTGGAAACAGCCTGCAAGTCCTTCAGTAGTGGACTGGTTAATTAAATCATATTTATACCATGAACTGCAATGAAGCCTTTGATAAAGCACATCAAAATGTATTGACAACCATGTAGATACATTATCTATCAAGGAGTGAAACAAGGTGTGGTTACAGAACAGTATTATATTATAGTCATACTCAAGTTAAAATGTAGGTTTGCATATGCATTAAAAGGCTGTAAAAATATACTCACACAAAACTATTGATAGTGATTTTTATATGTTTTTTTATTTATTAAATTTTTAGAGAGAGATAGAAATATTGATGTAAGAGAGAAACATTGATTGGCTGCCTCCTGCACATCCCTTACTGTGGATGGATCCTGCAACCCGGGCATGTGCCCTGACTGGAATCAAACAGGGACCTCACAGTCCATGTGATGATGCTCAGTCCACTGAGCCACACCAGCTGGGCAGATAGTGATATTTTTATGTTGCATGTATTCTTCTCTCTTGGGTTTGGGGGAACTTGACTTTCTATCATTTGAATTTTTTACCAAGGGGGAAAAATTGAGTCTTTTTATTTTGGGAGAAAAAAAATGCAGTCTGAACAATAACTGTATCCTTTAACTTCCATTAAGTCTCATAAAAAGTGCAGAAAATTTTGTTTCTCAAAGATAAATTAATCATGTGAAGTCAATAATTATCAAGCACTGGCCTCAAAGCTATTGTTAGCACTTCTTGGCATAAAGGTTTCCTGCTTTAGTTGACCCAACCCAATTGTGATCTGTTATATGCTAAGGCTGACCCTGTCTATCTTCTACGATGGCAATGCTTTTGGAGAAGGATCTCCAGGGGTGCTGTCTATTCAGTTAGTGGGGGATGCCGTGCCTAGCCCAGTTCTTCTGCAAATCTCCTACAGCACCTGTGGCCATGCTGAACTTTCTCATTCACAGTTAAAATCCCCTTTGGAGGTGCAAACTGCCTCATTTTCATTTCTTCTGAACTTTAGATTTTTTTCCTAAGTATTCACTCATTAGTACAGATTAAATCTCACTGCCTGCTGCTTTGGTAAGAACTTTCCCTTCTGGAAGCTGGGCTCTGAGTCTGGGTCCATATGTACTTGTGGATCTGACTTGGAGAAAATAAGAGAGACAGGGATATACCAAAGAATGAAGAATCCATTTGCAGCATCTCGGCAGCACTTCTCTTACTCCACAGCAGATAAACAGCTATCTGAGAAGTTTTATACTCAGAGAATCAAACTCAGAATTCTTTTTATTAGGCTTCAGGGTTAAAATGGGTCCCTACTCTACAAAGATGCACCCACCATTATTACCACGATTTCCAGCCATGTGCAGGTGGCTGACAGCACCACCAATCACCAGATGTGTTTGGTAGCCAAAGCCATACTGGTCCCTAGCACCTCGCACCTGGCACCTTTCCCTTCCACCATCACCAAGCACCTGTGCTATGAAACAACCAACCTGTAACTACTGAGGGTTTTCACTAGGGAAATCCCCTGGCTACAAACCACTGCCAAATCCCTGACCTGTCCCAGGCTCTGCTCTCTCTAACCCATGGTTCTGGATACCAGAGAAGACAATTCCTCATTTTGGAAGCCACTAGCATTCTCTAGTTCTTTTTTTCCTGCCTGCTCAGCTTCATAAAACCACTTGCCACATCATGAGTTATTCTGTGGAGAGGTCTACCAGGCAAGGAACCTAGGAAAATCTCTGACCAACAGCATGTAAGGAACTGAATTCTGCCAGCAACCACATAAGTGAGTTGGAAAATGTATCTTTTCAAGTTGAGACTTCTGAGAGACCCAGAGCCAGAAGGCCCAGATAAGCCATGTCCAGATTCCTGATCCGTGGACACTGTGAGATAATCAATGTTATGATTTTAAACTACAGAGCTTTGGAGTAATTAGTTATGTAGCAATAGATAAGTAATACATTTTAAAGTTGTTTTGAAGATTTAAAAAGACAAAGAAATTAATATATGTGAAAGAACTGAATACAGTGCCTGGCACAGAGTAGCTGCTTAGCAATGTGAGTTGAATCTAAAAACAGCAGAGTCGCAAATATCACCAGGACTTGTGAATAATCTATGTGTATAAAGTCTGCTAGTTTCATCCTCATCAGGGAAATTCAGTCCAAAAAGTTTGATGTGTACATACAAATACAAAGATATAACTAATGCCCATGTGTGTTTTACATACTAATGTAGAAAATCTCACTTTTAAATGTAAGCTTGTTTCTTCATGAATCTTAGAGCTGTGCCAAGTACCGCAACAGGCGACCACGACGATGATGATGATGATGATGACGACGACAAGGATGACAATGATGGCAACAAGAAGAGAAAGGGAGCTCCCACTGAACTATGTTTCATAAAGTATCAATCCCACTTTCCCATCTCATTCTCTCTCTCCTACCTTTTATTTTATTCAAATATGCAAGTTCAAACCAAATGGAAACTGCAAGAAATATTTAAAGGAATCCAGTCCAAGGCCCAGAGCTGCCACTCTCTTCTAACAGCTATCACAGCCCTTCACTAAAACTAATAGTTGAAAATAGTTCAGTACCACCAAAATCTATATGAAAATCACTGTGAAAAGTGTGAAAGCATTTCAAAGTGAGATCAGATCCAGTTTATTCAACAGAACTTTACTCAGTGTCTATTGTGTGCCCTCAGCCCAGCTCAGTGATCCTGGGGAACAAAAACAAGCACCATCTAGTGGAGGAACAAGCACATTCACACTTAACTATCTTAGAGGAAAACTGTGATGGAGCATGATCCACTGATGCCTGTTCTAGGCTTGGGAGTAGGGGCAAGGTTGTAAAGATGACCTCTTGACTAGATAGAGAAGACAGGTTGTGATGTGCTGAAATAGAGGTATAAATAAAGAGTCAAGACCGTACAAAGGTGGCAAAAGTTAATTCTAAGAAACCAGAGAAGACTTCATAATGAAAGTAACATTTGAGTGTGGTGTTAAGGAATAAGAGCATTCCAGATGGAGTGAGGGCAGGAGTGAAATAGATAAAGGCAATGAGGTGTAAAACTGCAAAATGAGGAAAAACTGCAAAGTGAGGCTAGACAAGTGGAGCACCATAACAGACATGTCAGCTGCATGGCAAAAGAGTGGAAGCAAAGACTAAAATGGGCAAGATCATAAAAGGTCTTGAAGCTGAGCAGAGGAGGTTGGATTTATTCTGCATGTAATAGAAAGGCATGAATACTTTTTAAGGGTTTCAGAATAAAAAATGGTGGCAGAGTGAATGGAAGCTACACTAACTTTCTTCCAGAACCAAACTGGAATTACAACTAAAATAAAGAGAAGTCATCCAGAAAAATCAACTGAAGACCAGCTGGAGAGAACTCTTATAACCAGGGACATAAAGAGAATCCCAAATTGAGTATGGCAAAGAGTGTGGAGGCATGAGAGGGCTGCCTGGGCTCCCACAGGCAGCAGCTGAGGGCTATCTTAGCTGTGAGAAGTTCCCCCTGAAAAGTCTGGGGTTTAAACCCCAAGCTGGGCTCCCCAGTACAGAGTAGCAGAACAGGGAAAGGCACCCACATAATACTGGGCTGTGAAAAACATCAGAGCAGAGGGCCTGTCTAGCAGGGAGAGGCACTGGTAACATAAGTACCTGCCTGAAGGGCCAGTGCACTAAATTACAGATACAGCCACTCACCTTGGACTCCTGCAGAGGGAGCGCTGACTGGACTGGAGCTGTGTTAGGAAAATTGTGGGTTTATGGCACTGGGGAGAGAGCTAGGGAGGAGGCCATCAGGAGACCTATGCTGAGTCATTCCCCCACACTATAGAAATCATTTGGGGGGTGGGGGGCAGACTCTTCCCATCAAGGCAGCTTTAGCCCAGGGGGGAAACAATTGCCCTACCCATTGGAATTTCACTCCACCTGCTGAGAGGAGTTTGTACCTAGCACAGAGGCTGCAACCTGAGGCTCATTAACTGTCAGAGACTATCAGCCAGCCTATAGGTAGAGACAAGTCTCTGGATGCTTTGAGCCTTGATGCAGGTCCATGGTTGTTGGGTTTCATGGCTCTGGGGTTGAGCTGTGAAGGTGGCTGCCTGGGTCCCTGTGCTGAGCCATTAACCTATGCTACAGAAACCATTCTTCTCGGACAGAGTTCTCCCATCAAAACAACTGTAACCTTGGGAGTGGAGGGGGGGGGGTAGCAACTGCCCTACCTGTTGGGATTTTACCCCACCCACTGGGAGGAGTTAGCACCTAGCACAGAACTGCAACCTGAGGTGTATTACCTGTCAGAGATTACCAACAAGCCTGCAGGCAGAGATAGGTCTCTGGGTGCTATGAGCCTTGGGCCTGGCTTGTGGTTGTTGGGTTTCATGGCTCTGGGGACCAAGCTGTGAAAGCTGAGGCCTGGTTCCCTGTGCTGAGCCATTAACCCACGCTGCTGAAACTATTTTCTTCAGGTAAAGTTTTCCCATCAAAGCAGCTATAGCCTGGTGAGGGGAAGCAACTGCCTCACCCATTAGAATTTCACCCCACCTTCCAGAAGGAGTACAGAACTGCACCAACAAGCCTGCTGGCAGAGACAGGTCTCTGGGTGCTATGAGACTTGGGCCTGGCTCATGGTTGTTGGGTTTCATGGCTCTGAGGACTGAGCTGTAAAGGCACTGCCTAAGTCTCTGTGCTGTTATCAACCCATGTCGCAGAAACCATCTTTGTCAGGAAGATTTTTCCTCTTAAAGCAGTTTTAGACCAGGGGGAAGCAATCCATCCACTGGGAATCCTCTCACCCTGCCCACTAGGCAAATTAAGACTACAATCTGAGGCTCATTAAGTAACTGAGACTAACATGCAACCTGCAAGCAGAAACAGATCTCTGGAATATTTGAATTTTTGCCTGGCCTGAGACTCTATTTGGGAGAATAAGACCAGACATTTGTGTTCAGCTTGGTCCCTTCCATAAACATCCAAACTCAGCAGAGGGAGCCACAATCTGCAGAACATTGATATTCACAGGGAGATGTTGGCAGGCTCCAAATCCTGCTGAGACAGCCAAAATGGTGAAACAAAGAAACAAGCCCCAAATGAAAGAACAAGAGAATTATCCAGAAAAAGGGGTAAATGAAATGGAGATAACCAAGTTATCAGATATAGAATTCAGAGTAATGATTACAAAGATGCTCAACAGCAAGAGATAAGATATAAAAACAATAAAAAAATGACCAATCAGAAATCAAGAATGACATAGGAGAAATAAAGAACACATTGGGAGGAATAAACAGCAGATTAGAGGAAGACAAGGATAGGATCAGTGAATTAGAAGACAGGGTAGAAAAAAATCACTCAATCCAAGAACCAAAAAGAAAAAAACAATTAAAAAATAGGAGGATAGTTTAAGAGAGCAGTGGAACAATATAAAACTTAACAACATCTGCATCATAGGCGCACCAGAAGAAGAAGTGGGCAAAGGTTAGAAAATGTGTTTGAAGAACTAGTAGCAAAAAATTTTCCCAAGTTCATGAAGAAAAAAGGCATACAAGTTCAGGAAGAACACAGAGTACCAAGCAGGAAGAACCAAAAGAGACCCACACCAAGACAGATCATAATTAAAATGCCAAAACTTAAACACAAAGAGAGAATGTTAAATGCAGCAAGAGAAAAGCAACAGGTTACTTACAAAGAAGCTCCCATAAAGTTGTCAGCTGATTTCTCAACAATAACACTACAGGCCAGAAGGGAATGGCATGAAATATTCAAGGTAATAAAAAACAAAGATCTGAAACCAACGTACTCTATCTAGCAAGGCTATCATTTAAAATAGAAGGTGAAAACAAGCCAAACAGAGAAAGACAAGTATCATATGACCTCACTTATTTGTGGAATATAATGAACATAACAGTCTGAGGAATGAGGTAGTCCCAGAGACGTGGAAGTGGGGTACAGACTGACAATCCCCAGAAGAGGGAGTGGTGGGGGAGAGTGAACCACAGAACTTATATGCGTGTATGCATGAACAATGGACATGGACAACAAAGCTGGGGACAGGGCAGGGAGGGAGGGGGAGGGGGGAATCAGTGGGGGGAAAAGGAGAAACATCTGTAACAAAAATTAATTAATAAAAAAAATTAGTTTCAAAAAATAAAATGGAAGGTGAAATAAAGAGTTTCCCAGATACACACAAAGACACACATACAAAGGCTAAAGGAATATATCACCACCAAACCAGCATTGTAAGAAATGTTAAAGGGACTTCTGTAATAAGCAGAAGAAATAGAGAGAAACATGGCATAATAAATAAAAATGGCAATATATAAGTACATATCAATAATAACTTTAGATGTAAATGGATTAAATGCTCCAATTAAATGCAGTGAAATCTAAGACATCACACACAGCAGAATTTTCACCAATACATCACCTAGGGCAAGAGAAACAAAAGGAAAAGTTAATAAATGGGCCTACATCAAACTAAAAAGTTGCAAAAGAAACCAGTATCGAAATGAAAAGGAAACCCAGTGTATAGGAGAACATATTTTCCAATGATACATTTAATAAAGGGTTCATATCCAAAATATATCAAGTACTCATCCAACTCAACAAAAGGAAGACAAACAAATCCAATTAAAAATGGGCAGAGGACCCAAATAGACACTCCTCCAAACAGGACATACAAATGGCAAAGAGAGATATGAAAAAATGCTCAACATTATCAGAGATGCAAATTAAAATGACTAGGAGATACCACTTCACACCTGCCCCTGCCAGAATGGCTGTCATCAACAAATCATTAAACTACAAGTGTCGATGAGGATGTGGAGAAAAGGGTATTCTAGTACACTGCTGATGGGAATTTAGATTGGTGCAGCCACTATGGAAAACAATGTGGTTTTTCCTCAGAAAATTAAAAATGGAACTGTTATTTGACCCAGTTATCCCACTTATTGGAATATATCCTAAGAAGCCTGAAACACCACTCAGAAAGAATATATGTACCCCTATGTTCATAGCAGCACTATTTATATAGCTAAGATCTGGAAACAACCTAAGTGTCCATCAGTAGATTAGTGGATTAAAAAGCTGTGGTATATTTATACAATGGAATATAATGCAGCTGTAAGAAAAAAAGATTTCTTACCCTTTGAGATGACATGGAGGGAACTGGAGAGCATTATGCTAAGCGAAATAAGCAAATCAGAGAAAGACAAATACCACATGATCTCACTTGTTTATGGAATATAATGAACAAAATAAGGTGACGATCTAAATAGATCCAGAGACATGGAAGTAAGGAACAGACTGACAAACCTCAGAGGGAAGGGGAATAGGAAGGTGAGAAGAGATAAACCAAAGAACTTATATGCATATATGCACAACCAATGGACACAGAGAATAGTGTGGGAAAGGCAGGAGGGAGGTGGGTACAGGGAGGAACAGGTTATGGGGGGGAAGGGAGAACATCTGTAATACAACAATAACGTTTTAAAAAAACAATTGTTGATAATAAAATTATGATGCTTTTGGCAATTGTTAAGAAAGGATTCTTAAAATAAATAAATAAAATATAAAAGAACAGGAGTGATATGCCCTTGCATTAGTCTGTATGTTTTAGGTTGCTAACCGCAGAAACCTAATTTAAACCAATTTTAGCAAATTATATATATTTGTTTAACTGGGAGGTAAAGAGGCGCATGTGGCTTCAGTCTCAGCTGATGCCAAGGAATAAATGATGGCATCTCAGCTCTACTTTCCCCTTCTTGACTTCTTTCTCAAGGGGACTCTCTTCATACTGTGACAAAGAAGGTTGTCAACAGTGGAAACGTCCATCCTTTTGGCTTAAGCTCCTCTGTGAGAAGAGAGCACTTCTCTCTCAATAGTTCCATCAAGAATCTGATGACTGAATCTTATTGGATAACTTGGATCACCCATTATAGATGTATATACTATGGCCAGGATAATATAGTGTCCATCCATGGAAGGCGGGGTCAGCACTACCCAAACTCCATTCACTGAAGTGGAGAGTTAAAGGAAAATATAAGAGCTGTTGTTAAAAGAAAAAGAAGTAGGAATAAAAGTGGCAAAAATACATCCATACATAAAAATTTTAAACTATCCATTACAAAACCTAAAAGGAATTCTAGAGGCAGTCTATTGGAGAAAATGAGGAGAGAGGAGTTTCCCTAGAGGCAAGAAAACTTCTACAATAGAATAGGCAAGAGATAAAATGGAACTAGGACAGGTATCAGGGGGAGCATGACATAACAAGCAATTGTGACCCCACAC